TCGCAACAATAATGCACACAGCCCAACAAAGAATAGATAAACACCTAGGCGGTAAGCGCCGAGTAAAAAAGAGATTTTTTAAATAAATAAACACCTAAAGGTTACAAGATATACGAGGGTAACGCGATTACTACTTTGAATAGTAAATTTCGTCACAGAGTAGTAGAATTATAGTGGATTCATGGGCGTCGTTACACAATTCTATAGGGAGAGGCAAAATTTTTAAAAAATTTAGGATGTTTATTTGTTGGAAAACAAAGAAAATGAAAAATAAAAGAGAATTTTCTTATGATGGATTTAATTATTCTGTGACGTCATGGCTTACTTCAGGCTTTTCCAGAAATAACAGCAAATCGCAATTTATTTTTTATTTTTAAATGAAAACCTTTTTCTTATTGAAAATTTGAATTTCTGGGATATTTTTGTATAAGAAGCGTGTATTGAAAATTTTCTGTCAGTAACATATATTTTCCAATATAATGGTCATTTTGACAGCTGACAGAAATTTTTCAACCCATGATTCTTATCCATAAATGTCTCTAAAATTCTAATTTTCAATAAAAACGGCGGTTTCTATTTAAAAATTAAAAATAAATTGAGATGTTCTGTTATTTCCGATAAAACAGGAGTCATGGAGTCTCACACACCAATTGAATCCAGTATATGAGAATATTTGTCCCAAGCTCTTAAACAAATAAGTTTTCATTCCAATATCTTAATTAACAATCTATAATTTTCTGTTTTATATTTTAATTCTTCCCAGGTATCTGCTTCGTAAAAAATAGCCGTGTTATCAGCAAAGCTTACAATTTGGCCTGTAGTCTTTTGAATACACAAGTCATTTACATATACTGAAAATAGTACAGGACCAAGGACTGTCCCTTGTGGTACAGCAGTTTTAATCAATTTTCTTTTGCTAAACTCATCTTTTACTTCAACTTGTTGATATCGGTTATTAAGGAAGCCGTTTCCCGTATTCCTGCATCTTCCAAGGCCAGCAATAACTGATCATAATGTACAGTATCTTAGGTCTTGGCTAAATCCAAATCAAGGTATTCTTGTAATCTTAAATTTAATGCTTTCTCTACAACTTTTGACAAAAGTGGTGATTAAAGATATTGGTCTGTAGTTTATTACCATTGTCTTATTGCCTTTTTTAAATATTGGTATCACTAACGATCTTTTTAGTTCAATGGGAAATTCTCCTCGCAGTAATATTTTATTAACTAAATGATTTAAGAGTGGGGTAAATATTTTTAAATTCTCTTTTAATAATTCTGTTTGTATATTATCTATTCCGGGTGATTTTTTGTTTGCTAGGAACTTTATTATGTTTTTGGTTTCAATATTTGTTAAAGGCAATAGAACAATGGAATTTTTCTGAATATTTCTCCAAGGTTGAGGAGTGTAAGGAGGGCTTATATTTTCTGCAAGAGTTACACCTACTTCACTAAAGTAGTTGTTAAACGTTTCAGCTAAATATTTCGCCTCTGTTACTATATGCCCATCATCAGTATGTATTTCTTTTATTTCATTGTTTTTTAATTTGCTTTGTATTTGATTAATAATTTTCCACAGACCTTTTAAATTTTCTTTATTTTCATTTATTTGCTTAGCATAAAAATCTTTTTTAGCTTTCCGTTAATGTTCTATAATTTAAATATGCTTCTTTTTAAGCTATTGCATAGCTTTTATCGCGAGCTTTGAGCACGGCGACCGAATCAAGAAATTCCGTAACGAAAATAAACCTAACACCCCCCCACTCCGACCGGCACAGTGGTGCGGCGTTGAAAGCTGTGCATCGTCTAACGTCGTTTCAGTTCGGCAGACTCCGGCACGATGTTGGTGTGCGTGCGACTAAACGTATGCGTGTAGACTAGCTGCTAACTGCTCATAACTGATTCTATGTCTTTTAGACACAATTTCGGAAAAATTGAATTTGAAAATGATTAATGATCCACAAGAATCCACAACAAAATATGGGACCACCATTGACGCGGTATTTTCCAGATATTTAGAGGATATCAAGTCTCAAACTGATGTTTCTTATTTCAGTTACCATAAACCTATAGTTTCAATGATAAAAATTCCCGAATAACCTACATGTATTGTAAGATAATAAAAATATTTTAAATATTAACTTCTCATTTATTCAATAAAAGAAAAAAAATTGTTTTCTTATCGGTCACCACGCTCAAAAAGTGTAACTTGAATTAATATCAAAAGAAAAAATACTGCATAAATAAAATAAATAAATATAATAGCATAAGTTGATAAAAAATGTTATGCAATAGCTTTACCCGCGGCAGTGCTCGAGTGCCTCACGTATTTTTTTTTTTTTCTATATTTTCCAAATCTTTTTATAAATTTTGATGAAGTTTGTTTCTTATTGTAATTGAGTTAATGATACCTATTGTGGCTTTTTACAAAATTTTTAGTTTTCTCTAATAACTTTGGTATTTTTCTTTATATACAGAGTGGCCCAAAAGTCTGGAAACGGCCAATTATCTCGTAAATCGCTAGTCTTAATTGTACAAAATTTGGGGTACACTTATTTTGGAATACGGAGATTCCAGATTTGATATTTGCAATGTTGCCAGATTTTCCGTTTCTTTTATATTATTAGTCACTTTGGTTTTTCAAATATATGTAACACTTATGATTTTATGTAGTCTAGAAGGTCTTAACTAAAGTGACTAATAATATAAGAAAAACGGAAAATCTAGCAACATTGCAAATATCAAATCTGGAATCTCCGTATTCCAAAATAGGTGTACCCCAAATTTTGTACAATTAGGACTAGTAATTTACGAGATAATTGGCCGTTTCCAGACTTTTGAGCCACTCCGTATACGTTTAATGTGTTTACTAAATAAGTAACTTTTTCATTTAAATTATTTATGCTTAAAAGTCTTCCCACCTGTGGTTCTGAATATTTTCTTGTAACTTTTTATAATTAATCTTCTTGAAAAATGATTTTTTTTTAGTTGTCTCAGGTTGTATTGGAAATTGGAAGATATGCGATCGTAGCTTTGTGATCTGTTATATTGGAATCATATGTGGCTGCTATAAATTTATTTAACGTATCAGACCTATAAAATATATGGTCTAAGCAACTTTTAGATGTTCCCTGTACTGTATATATTTGTTTATTATAGTCTATTTTTATGTATGAGAGAGTAATAAAACAGCATTTCTAATGCAAAACTTAGTACAGTCATTTTAAATATTTTTACAGAATAATCTAAATATTTCCTAAAATTCTAATAAATGTACCTGAGCTATTAAAGTTTTGGGTCTTTTATTGGTCCTTTATAAACATAGGCTGTACAGAACAATAGAAAAGGGTTTGGACAGGCCAAAAGCCCTGTGTATTAAAGATTACATAGCCGTATTTTAAGATTATTTTCAATAAGTACCTATTTGCCAATTTTGTTTTATTTTAATTCCAAGAATTTCTTACAGTAATCGAATTATAAGTAGATAAATACCTTTTTTTTTTGCATAAGATAAAAATAAAAAACCAAAAACTTGATTATTTGAATTTTTCACATAAATTTTGAGGTTATGTGAAAAAAGTGTAATCACAAAAGTTGTAGGTCTCTTTATTACCTACAACTTTGTCATTTAATTTTTTTCCATGGGACTTGTAGTTTTGCCGGAAATCGAGATACACCGTTTTTTACCCTTAAAAACTCACCCCCTTCCACTTCCCGACCTCAGATCGCCCGTCAATTATTTTTCCTTTCATTTTTGTTATATTCTCGTCCTTTTTTAACGTGTTTCATCCTACTATTTTTTTTTTTTTTTTGTTTCAAAATTATCGACCCTGGTCTATTAATCGAGAGTTGCATAACATAAGTACGTTTCATGTTTTTATGATTGTTTTGAATACGATCGGAATTCTTAGAATGCGAAATTCCCTCGAGAACAACTAGAAAAGCAATATCACAATATCATACCGTTGTTATGATTAAATTCATCGATTATCCCTCGTAAACGTACAACTGCGGCTTTCCTCTATCTCAATGTCGAAATTTAAACGGTGAATGACTTTTCTGAACTCCCAGACACCCAGACTCTTAGTTTTGCCGCCTTTCTGCGTTTATTCATTTAAAGGACATCAGACTATGTACTTGAACCCTACAGTTTATGTGCGTAGAAAACCACAACAAAGGAGCAGATCTTTGTGTGCGATATTTTGATTTGATTAGCTGATTCGAGAATTATACCGCTCTCGCAGCAAAAAGAGCTAGAGGCTGGAAGCGTGCGCTTAGGACATCAAATGAATTTATTATCAAGGGAGCTCAAAAAAAATTAAAAAAATGTGAGACGAAACACAAAGTTCACGGAGCAAATTGTAATATACTGTCAGATCATTTTTAACCGACTTCAAAAAAGGAGAAGGTAATCAATTCGTCGCGATATTTTTTTTTTATGTATGTTCAGCGATAATTCTTTAACACGAGTGTCCGATTTCAATGATTCTTAATTTGTTAGAAAGGGAGTACTTCAGGGATGGTCCCATATATATTTGGTCAAATCTAATAATTGGGTCCATGAGAAAATCCTCAAACTCTTCATTTTTTATGTATGTTTAGTGATAATGCTTTACCGCCTTGTCCGATTCATATGATTCTTTTTACTATTTCTTGTAGCAACAGGCATTTCTTTGGGTTCTAAAGTATTCATTAAAAGTAATCATTCTAACAAAATAATAGGAAAGGTTAGAATAGGGTTGAAAGTAGAATAAGCTACAAAATTAGAAGTCTTACGATTCATACAACGGTTTCTGTAAGTAAAACAAATCCAAAATAGAATAGGCCTAGATTATAAAGTAGATTAATGTAGAATATGTTAGATTAGAATAGAATAACTTAGAATAGGGTAGAATAGATTAGGATTAGATTAGAATAACTTAGAATAGATTTAGGATTAGATTAGAATAACTTAGATTAGGGTAGAATAGATTAGGATTAGATTAGAATAACTTAGAATAG